TATATATATATATATATATATATATATATATATATATATATATATATACTAGGTGTGAAACCCGTGTATTACACGAGTTTATTAAAAGGACCAAAAGTAACGGCGTGAGCAAAAAAAGGTCATTCACGTAAGTTTTGGTAACCACAATGACCATGTTCATAAAAAAATAAGTAATGACTGAATTTGTGACTTTTGTAAACCACATGAACCATTTATGTAATTTGGTCTTAATTAATCTATACTAATAAAATTAATTAATATGAATTCAAAAATAGAATGTACTATCTACATTAATATACATATACATTAATTAATATATTAATAGAAAGAAGAATTCACAAATATAAAGTTATTATATACATTAGTTAATATATTAATAAAATTAATTAATATAAGGAGGCATTTAATAGGTGGAATTTAAATAAAAAATGAAAAAACTATAAAAATGACAAGTAGATATTAAATAATTCAAAAAAAATCTAGAAAATAACAAGTGTTAAAATGAAAGAGAAGATGACATGTGGCAAAATTATTCATATATATATATATATATATATATATATATATATATATATATATATATATATATATATACTAGTTGTGAGACCAATGTATTACATGGATTAATTTAAAAAAAAAAATTAAATATAAAGGTCTAAATATTTAAAAACTTTGAATTTATAGGAAAATAAGAAAAATAATGAATTGTTATAATGAAAATGTTTTTTTATCTTCTAAATTTAAACAAATAATTTAAATAAAAAAACAAAAAAACTAATGAGCTTTAATTTTGAGAATTTTGAAATTAAAAGGTAAGTTTATTAATGACATTGATATCCATTTATTATGTATTATATTAAAATATTATGTGAAATTTAAAAAAATAAAAAAACTTATAAAATGACATGTAGAAAAAAAAATTAATTTAAAATAATCAAAAAATAACATTTGTCAAATTAAATAAAAATGTGACAAGTGTAAGTTAGCCACTATTCGTGGGTGTCTGTGATTTACATATTTAAAACTAATTTATGTTTTTTTATATAAAATTACTTACTTTTAGTTAGGTAAGAAACTATGTTTTTCTTGTCGGTGTAGAAGTAGTCTACTTGGTAGAGACTTTGTCTTTTAGATTGGAAATCTCGAGTTTTAATCTGGGTGTTAGCGAATTTTACTAATTTGATGATACTAAGTTTTGACTAACCAACCGCTAAAAAAAATTATGTTTGAATTATATTATATGTAATATCAAAATAAAGTAAGCTGATAATTTTCTTTAATGTGTGCATATTACTGCGGCGGTGGTGATTGCTTGCCGAATATGAAAAGGGTGAGGGGGACGAGTTGGTTTTTTTCGGACTGTGGCGACGGTGGTAACCCGGTGGCGGATACGCCAACCGATGCCGGAAAATGGGTGTCGCTGACAAGTTTGAGAATGGTAGGGTGGGTCGGTTGAGGGGTGGGTGGTCCTATCTATTCATTTAATAATAAAAATAAATCTAAAATACAAAACATACAAAATAAGAAAGAAACAAAAAAGGAGAGGTAATTTTTATACGTACTTAACGAATTCATATAGACGCTAATTTTAGTACAGAACAAAACTGAAGGATTTCGAAACCATGATGATTGTTGTTTTAATTCTCCAAAACTATGACCAAACTAGAAGCAATGTGCGTACCATAGAGACTAAAATTGCAATTTAATAAAAAAATTATATATTAATAACATTATAAATTAGGGGGTATTTTCAAATTTCAATAACTCAAAGGGCCTTTGGCATTGCAGTATTAGGAGTTGACAAATACAAGTCTCTCAGCCAAAGATCGAGTATTCAAGTCTTGTTTGTGACGAAAAATGAAGATTTTAGAGTAGATGAGTAGAATATGTAAGCCGTTTAAAAATAATAGAAAAATATTAATTTACTTAAAAAAATTCTTTCAACAACAATTGCTTGATCAAATTTGAAAAAAATTAGAGCTGATTAGTTTAAAAATAATAGAAAATATTAGTTTACTTAAAAAATTCTTTCAACAACAATTGCTTGATCAAATTTGAAAAATATTAGAGCCGATTAATTTGATAAAATAAACTGAAACTTTAAGTCTTTACTTAATTTTTTTGTGAAAGTTTGGTTATTTTTTTTTTCTCTTTTTTGAAATGGTAAATCTAATTTACACTACAATTACTTATGATTTCATTTGTATCACATAAATGACTTGAACTAGGGTGTTCGTTTGGATGTATCGGTTCGATCCGATCCAATCAAGTGAATTCAATTTAATTTCGGTTTTCAAAACATGGATCCGAAAAATCCAAACTAAATTCAAATCTGATTTGATGCAACCAAATTACAATCCGGTTAGATCGGTTTTTACAATCCGGTTTTCAAGAGCTAAAATTTTTAAATATTATATAACTTGAATATTAGCCACCTCTATAAAATAAACTAAAAAAGTTTAGTTGTGAATTAAAATATATAAAAAACTACTAAGAAAAAATTATTGTAATTTAGCATTTCACAGACAAAAAATATTTTGATACGAAATACATATTAAGGTATTATATTGTATGAAGTTTTCTAATCTATTAACAATATAATTTAGCAAATTTATAAATGATTAAAGATATACTATAAATATATAATTATTTAATTATTATTTGGGTTTTTTTGGACTATTAGGTTTTTATTTTATAAACCAGAACCAGTCCGAAATCCAAAATAACAATTCGGTTTTGCTAAAAATCAATCCAAAAATCCGAATATTCGATCCAAATTGTCCAATCGGACAATTCGGTTTTATCCAAATAATGAACAGTCATAACTTAAACCCCAAACCTCAAGGAGAAAAAACAATACTTGATACCGTCGAGATAGATCAAAATATACTAATTACCTCAAATAAGAAAAATATCGAAGTTAACTTCTTTTTTTTATACAATTTCCCCTTTTACTTATTGTTGAGTGCACTCGTGCTTTCAGTTTTATATCTTGAAATACTATTAAGTCATAAATAAATATTAACACTCTTGTTCTTGAGTTGAAACCGGAAGGAATGGAATATAGTAAAAGAAATGAGATGGAAGGAATGGGAAAAGAAAGAGGAAGAAAGGAAGCGGAGGAAATTTGCTTCCAATCAGCCCATATGTGGCTGGTAGCTTCCTAAACAAAAATAGCTTATTCTTTTCGCCCCCTCGTTTAAAAAACTCAAAAAACATACTTCATCCTTTTTTTTTTCCTTAAAAAAAAGCCGCAATTCCTTACCTTTCCTTCCTTAAGTAAACTAAAGAACCGTGGAGACATATTTCAGATAAGTAAATTAAGTACCATAATTGCTGATAATGAAGAGACGAGAATAGCAGTTCTCATAGATAGATCCCCTGCAGCTAATGGGAGAAATGGCTTGTTAACCTGAAACACTATACTCTCATCAGCCATATATCCATGTGTGTGTGTGTATGTATATATGTGGCTAGCAAATATATATAAGTTGCATGTTTAATACACCTTGTCGAGTTCTATATCACATATCTGGTTGAAACCGGTGACATACATTTGCATCAACAGGCTTCCAACGAGAGCCTGAAAGTAGTATTTTTTTTAACATAGATTCTTAGAACGCATTTATTTATGATTTATGAAGTACGCTTCTAAAAGTTTATAGTCATAAGTTCAATCGAAAATTACCTGCAACAATCTCACGAAGAACAGTGGTGAGAAATCCGAAAGCTTCTCAACAGCAAGTAGAGCCATTGAAGCTACATTTAGAGCCTATTAAATGAGATAAGATATTATATATATTATACACCTGGAGTTACTCGTATTGGAATTTAATGGTGATAATGAAACTACGAGTACGACATTGTAATTTAATATTATTAAAAATCTCACCGTTCCAAGTGCTGCATACGGCCTTATAAATCTGTAAAGAACGTCCAAGAAATTCACAGTGGTTTGCATCGGATTCATTGTATTATGAGCTGCATCAGATCCAGAATCGTTGGTAGATGTTGCATCCAATTCGAACTTCTTTTCGGGTCTTCCATGGAGCATGGATCGTTTGTAGAAGCTCTCAGCCATGTGATAGTTGACATGCCTTTGTTGAAATGTCATGTATCGATTCTTATTGAAGATACATGCTTGATGCTTCAAAACTAGACAGTATACACAGATTCTTGTTAGTGGTAATTAGTGTAGAAGGATGACAAGTTTCATGAACGTGTATTTTGATCAAGTCCCTGTTAATTTGATAGATGTTGAGGTCTATATATCCAAAAGGACTCACACTGACTCATTTGATCATCAACCATATAACCAATTTGACCCTTACATTCTAACAAAGTAATCTAAAAGAGTATTTCAACAATGAAAATAAAAACGGAGACATTTGAAGGATTTAAAGTAACAAATAGATGTATATGTACCAAGTGAAGAAGATGGCTTAACGACTCCAGAGTACTGAATCATAGCAGCTGGCTTGCGAAGTGACCCAATAGCTAGAGATTCCATATATTTCTCTCTTGAAAGAGCTCTTAACTATTTTTTATGTTCAACTTGTATTTGAAACAAACAAAACGTTATATATAGATAGATGTATGCATCCGCGTGAATGTAAATAAGTCAAAGTTACTATTCTTCAACTTGTATAGATGTTCATTAATTGCCCTGCAATCCAGTTTTGACTTTTAGACTTAAAACTGATTTGATGGGAACATTTTGGCCCAAAGACCCAATTGTCTATGAAATAGAATCAAATTGAAGATTCAATGATGCTTCGATTTTTATATTTAACTTATCTTTTTATTACCTTTCCGATACAATTTGGTTACTTCCCAAAGTGATGTCAAGATATCTGTTAGTCATTGTCTGAGTGTTCTTTTTTACCAATTCATAATAAGCGCTTGGGAGGTTTTTCTTATTAAGCGCTTTGGAGGTTTTTCTTATTTATATACATTTATTTTTATTTACCACTTAATATCCTTAAACCTATGGGTATGAATCCAAAAAACCCCATTATGGTTGATGTGACAGCCCAAAACAGCAGACCCGGTTATAAGGAGGGGCAAGTGGGGCATGTCCACAGAGCCCATTTTTTTAGGGGGCCCAATTTTTTTTATGTTAATTCCGAAAATACATTTTTAGACTTTTAATCTCGCATTAGATTACACGACTGTTTTGGTTCTTTTTCCTTGACAGTGGCAATTCTTCTTATCAATCACGTTCAATTATGACCTAAATTAGAATTAAAGCATATCTATTTTCTCTTCAGCAACCAAATCGCAAGAAATCATGGAGCAAATCATCTCCAAAATTGAAAAGGGAAGATTTATTTTCTCTTCAGCAACCAAATTGCATTGCTTTTAACATTTGGGTTTGATTATATGGGATAATATTCCGTTTGTTCATCGAAGCTACAAGATCAGGTACGTTTTCTTCCTCTAGGATTTTTATATGATCGCTCCCTCCTTGTCTGTTCGTTTCGAAAATTCTGTGAACTTGATAATATCTTTAGAAAGTAGATCGTTGGGACATATTTGGTATCGTTCAATTTAAACATTCTAATACACAATTTCATCTTGTGGCTTGAAAATTTTGGCCAATTAAAAACTCAAAACCGACTTAGGAATTGGGAATTCACAAATGACATGCCATGCGTTTTTTTTGCAATGATCAACTTGATTATGGTATCTCAGATGAGGCTTGACAAAGGGTAACTATCAAGCATGGAAGATTGAAAGCAAGCAACTTTTTTGCATGGAAGATTGAAAGCAAGCAACTTCAGAATGATATTCTTAAATTTCTTCTTGCTGCCTCTTTTAACTACATATGGAAATAGACGAATTGGAAGCTCTTTAAGAAGATTAATCACGATCCTATTTTTTTGACTAGATTGATTTTGGAAGAAGTTTTGTTTAAACTCTTGGATATGAAATCTGGTCACAGTGGTGTAAATGTGAATATTAATGAGATTTGGTTATTACCAAAGCAAAATATTGATTTTTATTATCTTCATGGGTAATACAAATTTAATTTTTAGAACTGTTCTGTTGATACTATTTGGTTTTCAGATTAATCTAGAGTGGGATTTGGGAACTTCTAGATGTTAAGGTGAATTAGCCAAAAAAGAAAATAAAAAGATCTAGGGGTTTTTTGCAAACCTAAGGGCCTTTTTTTCGGCTCGTCCTCGACATATGAATCCTCATAACCGGCCCTGCAAAACGGCATGGTAACACTATGAACACTGTCCCATCTCCGACGTTATGGTAAGAAATGTTATAACGGAGAGCAACGCGATCAGAGCCTCTCTCTCTCTCTCTCTCTCTCTCTCTCTCTCTCTCTCTCTCTCTCTCTCTCTCTCTCTCTCTC